CAATAACAGAGAGAACTCAAAACTACGGACATACAGACAAATAAACAATGAAATTAAAGAAGCACCATATTTAACTAAACTAAATAAACTCCATGATGTTGAAACTCTGGTAAGATTACGGCTTAGTTGCCACAAATTACAGATCGAAGTAGGAAGACATACTCGCCGAAAAACACCACTAAGCAAGAGACTATGCAAAACATGCAATGTATTGGAGGATAAAATCCACTTTATTACATCTTGTAAAGTTTACTATTCTGAAAGAAAAACTCTTCATGATGAATTTAACAAAATTTACATGAGATGGAAAACACAGAAAAATTGACAATCATCAACGTATGATATATTCATTTACTGAAAGCACTAATCCAATACATTGATAATGCAAACTTGAAAAGAAGCATTTAGTAACTTTCTTTGTTTCGATACGTTTATTAGAATTAATGTGTGTTCGTGTTTATTTATTTAACTTTATTACTCAGAGCCGAAACAGATTGTAATTTCTTAATGGTAATAATAAAGGGTTATTATATTATAGGTACATGGGTTATGTCTCATTCACATTTCCACAAAAATACTGTTCACATGGCATTGGAAAGCGATTTGATTTGATGTTATTGTTTGTGTTTCCAACCTGTATTTTATTCACACCTCCTTTAACCAATCAGTTTGCATTAATTATGACCATTTATAGGGCTTCTTTTTGGGCCAATCACTGTCATTCCGTTAGCAAATCAGTGCTGTTTTGCATAGCATGGCTTCTTTTGTTTAGACCATTTATTAATTGTGTCAGGATCCTTTATTCTATATTTTTTTTCATATTTTACGTCAAACCTTGCAAACAGAAGTGTGCATGGAATCATGGGATAAAACAGCTAGTGTACAATGCTGTGTGATAACTGTCATAAAGGTGATTGACAGGTCATACTTGTTTACAACTCTATAAGGACAATTGGAATCTACCAGGTGTGCTTGTGATTAACATATTAAAAAAGCATGTTTACAACTCAAACTTTGCCTATGTGAGTGCCTGCCTGTCATCGTGACAGCTGCTAACAAAACCACATTCTGACTGGCTCCATTGGAAGTACAGGCGATGTACCTGAAACTGGGCCATTTATGCTTTATAAATGAGTACATTGTGGTCCACCATTTCAACTAAGTACTCTGTGTTGCTGCGTAGTGTGTGCGTGCATGCGTGCGTGCATGCGTGCGTCTGTCTGTCCGTCCAGCCATCCGCTCGTCCGGAGTAATATTTCAGAATCCTTTTGACCAATTTTGTTCATTCTTTGCATGTGCTTAGTACCTTATGTGGGACATATGCACATGCAGTGGTTTAGCAATTCGATTCAAAATGACCGACTGGCAGCCATCTTGTTTTTTGAAAATGTTATATTTTGGACATGCTTTGTCAGTTTTTATTCAAACTTGGGACATTGGTTATACATGTTAGGATACATGTCCATGACAATTTATTTCGCAATTGGATCAAAGATGGCTGGCAGGCATGCAGGCATCTTGTTTTTTTTTTAAATGTGGTATCTTGGACATGCTTTTTCAGTTCTTATTCAAATTTGGCACATACTTCATACATGTTAGGATACATGTCCATGACGATTTATTTCAAAATTGACAGCCATCTGACTTTTTGGCCTTACTACTATATTTTCAAGATTTATGTACCATTTTCATTTGTATTTGGCACATACATCATACATGTCAGTTTAATTCATAATCAGATCAAGGATGGCTGAATAACGGCTCTTTTTATTTGTGGCCATATTACTATATCTCTGTCACCCATGTATCATTTCAATTGATATTTAGCATGTCATAAATGGATACATGTACATGTCAATTCAATTTGATCAAATATGACCGACTGGTGACCATCTTGTTTGTTTAAAATGTGATAACTTGGACATGCTTAAACATTTTTGAATCAGGACTATGCCTAGCTTACTCTTAATGTTGGTGTCTTTATTACATGCCAGTCATTCTGACCTTCGTTTTAACTCTGCTTGCCATTCACTCTCAGTGGTTATTCACATTGATGCTACTGTTTGATTCGCCAATTACATGTCTCATTGCATTTTGTCACAGCGAGCAAGCGCCTTTCACATATCTGAGATTGCTTTTTGCCTCAGATATGGTTATGGGGATATGGACGTTTTACACTAATAAACTGACGAACTATCCCCCGCAGGGGGGAGTTCTTTTAATTCTATGATGTAGATGGGCAAGTGTAATTCACTGATAGATCACCATTGTTTGACACCCCCTGCCATGTGAATTTAAATTAGAGGCATGACAAACTTTAAATTATTTTGAACTGATATTTATTAAAACTGCAAATTTGAGGACACTGCCTTCACCATATTATTCAACACAAGAGGGCGCTTGACTTGTACAAGGGGTCTATTAGCCGCTTTTGTCCAGAACTAACAATACAATTACAAAGAGTTGCAATTGCTGTATTCCCTATCCCAGAATCTCTAATTTGGTCATTACACATATGTTAACATTGTAAGCCCCATGTAAAGATTTATTGTAGGGCACCATGGCAACAAGCATTCATATTCATGAGATCCTCGGACTTGCATTTTCTCAAACATACTTTATAAACAATTTTAGCAAGTGCAATAACATCGACATGCACCTCAATTTGTTATACTTTCACTTGTGATCTATGTTTTTCTTTGCTATGTCTTAATCCGAAGAGGTCGTCACGCAACACACGTTTGAATTTGATGTAAATAAACAATATGTTGTATACGCCACTTGTGACTTGAAGTTTCAAGGACATGCTCGCGACAACTTCTTCGCTTTAATATGATGAGCACAATGAGAACTTTCAAAAATGTTCTCTTTCTTGTTGCAAGAAGCCATTGACTGTCATCAATTACCACATCCTGGAACTTTGAGTTATCACCAATGCACACTTTCCTTGACAATCCCCTATTTTAGTGAATTTATTCATTGTATTATTATATCATTATATTGTATCATTATTTTTAGAGGTATTAAAGCCAGGAGCTTTAACTCGATATCTTTGGTGTATGTGTATTTCATTTCCAGTACTATTGTCTTGTCTACCCTATTCTAGCAGTAACAAAAACCCCTGTCCAGTGTGAGTTTTGTGGGTGTCCCTTTTAATATCAGTAAGCAACCCTTACACAGTGACCATTTACAGGTCCCCTTTTTGAGCCAATCACTGTCATTCTGTTAGCCAATCAGTGCTATCTTGTATAGCATGTCTTCTTTGGTTTAGTCCATTCATGAATTGTCTCATTCATTCTTTTATGCGACTCATTTACGTTAACATTTTTGACAGCTAACCCACCAACCATCCCCAACCTATTTCCTATTCTGGTCAGTTTTCACCCCACTTTTGGGCAAAGAACTTCATCCTGTCTCCATTTACAAGTTTGAAAGCCCACTTTCTGCCATGTTCTTTAGTGGAAGTTTGAAGGGTGACCCCTTGCCCAATTTTATTGCCCTTCGTACACGTTAATATGTGTAGTGTTTTTACAAGTCAATGCAATGACAAGTCAAGTTATGTGTTTATCCTCGGGGGCGGACATCCGGGCATTTTCACCGCCTGGCAACCCGCTGCGGTGAAAACAAAGGCCCAAAACTCGCAGAAAACGGTACTTTGGGGTGATTGTTGAGACTCTGAACAGTGCAACAAGATTAGCCCTACGTGTGTAACATATATAAATTTGATTGTTATGGATTACTTCAAAGTTGAGTTTGTATTGTTTTCTCGAATTTTCACCGGCTCGACCGGCGTTCCACAGCAGCGCGCACAGAGCCCATAGAAATGCATG